CTGAGCTTTTCTCGAGATGGACCTCAATTTTAAACTGTAGTACTAGGATTGAGTTGCCCCTTTGAGTATGGTAGCTAGTTTTTTACACATAAGAGCTTCATTTGCCTTTTGCATCATCATGTTAGTTCGATAAAGCTCTAAATGATAAAAAAAGGTCATAAGTATAGTCATAAGTTTCCACAGTCGGCATTTTGAATTCTTTTAGGGGCATTGTTCTGTCAATTTCCTTAGTTAATGGCAAGGTCTCTAAAAACTTGAGCTCATCTTTGAATGCTACAGCCTTTCCTTTTAACTCCTTCTTCATGCCTTGTATCCTAGCTTCTAGATCTTTGTTTGGCTAGGGTTCTAGGTTAATTTGTTTAGATTTTTGGATGGTGGCTTGTGTCGTGGTGTGATTTTGATAATGGCTGGCTATTGGTAGTGGGTTTTCTTCTCATGAAGCCAACAAGGCTTCCATATCTTCAAAGTTTAGTTGCCTTTCAGCCTGTAGTCTTCCAAAGGTGACCAAGTTAGTTACATTAGAGGTTTGTGGGGTTGTGAGACTTTGAATCATTTCCTTGAGGGACTATGACTGCTGAGTTAAGGCTTGGAATTGCTTTATTGCCTGCTCGCATAGGCACAGGTCGATTGACAGGTCAGTCAGTGGGTTAGTTGGTATGGATTTCGATTCTAGCTTTGGCAATTGGTTCTCTTTCTTCAGGTACTCTTTTTCTAGGTGGCATGATGTTTAGCTTGGCTAAATGGTTAAATGCCCTTACTTGACATGTCAAATGTTGGTGTCGAGCTACGAGTTGTAAGGTAAAACCTTGAAAATGTAAAGGGAAGAAATAACTACTAAAGGCAAAAGCGGAGAGTTTTCCCAATGTTTACACTTTGATGCTAAAGTCAGAGGTTGGACTAAGAGGAAAATAGAAAGGAGAAAGTATTAAGGTAAAGGTATGTGAGATGTCTAGATAATACCTAAATGAATCTATTTATAGCTGTAGGTGAGGGATTGTAGGGCAGCATAGGCTGCGCACGGTCAATTTTGTGGTTAGGATGACCCAGCGAGTCAATCTATCTTAGACGCAGATTGTTTACTCAAGGAGTAACAAGTCAGTATAAAAAGGGATCTGTTCAACAAGTTGATAAGGTGGCCGGGTTGATGTGGCACCATACATGTCAGATCGACCTTACATATTAGGTCAACCCAGAAGTCATAAATATCCCTTGCTATTTGCTGGCAATCTTTAATATGAAAAAAAAACTATTTTACGCTTTGGACAAAAAATACCCCTAACAATTTGGTATACTTTGTAACGGTGTTCTCTACTTTCTAAGCTAATTGAACTTCTGATTGAAGAGTGAATTCACTAAGTTCAACAGAAAAGGTTGAATGTGCATGCCTCTTGATTGTCAATTATCAGGTATTTGTACTTTCTGTCTTTCTTTTCTTATTTATTGCATGGAAAGGCTTGATATCAATAGTCAGATTACAAGATAACAAATTACAAAGTCAGAGCATATATTTTTGCCCCCAAAAGTTGGACCAAGTTCTGTAATGCAGAAAAACAATAGCAGAAGAAAGAAAAAAGCATAGTGTTTGTATAACTTGTAAATAATCTTTAAAAGAAAACATATAAATCAGTCTAATGAAATCAATTCAGTAGTTCTGATATGTAGAGCTTGCAATAATATGTTACTTCTGCATATATCAGTTATAGAAATACAATCAACGACCTTTAGATAGGAACGATTCAGTGATAGTAATTGATGCTGTAGTAGAATCTTTTGTCCATGGTTCAGAGTAGTTACTGGACTCTTCCACAAACTCTAATGTCTGAAGAATTGCATCCGAATTTTCAGGGAGTGAAGCTAGGCCACTCAGGTACAAGATAATTTGTGACATTCTTGGCCTAAGTATAGCCGCTTTGTGTGAGCAAAGTAGTCCAAGTTTCAATACTACGTAGATTTCCCCGACATTGTAATCATTCTCAAGTTTGGGGTCTACTGTCTTCAGGATATTCCCTTCCTTCTAACATTTGAACACCCAATCCACCATATGCACTTCTTCAGCTGATGCTCTTTGCTTAACTGGCCTCCTATCACAAGCAGCCTCGAGGCAGAAAGCCCCAAATGCATAAACGTTGGTGCTTGTACTTGCCTTTCCAGTTTTAGCAAGCTCTGGTGCCATGTAGCCAAAGGTGCCAGCTACATGAGTAGTTTGAGGATCCTGTGCATGATTACTACATCTTGCAAGCCCAAAATCACCTAGTTTTCCATTGAAGTCACCATCTAATAACACGTTGCTGGCCTTTATATATCTGTGAATGATGACTTCTGCCCATCCTTCATGCAGGTAGGCAAGTGCTGAGGCTGCATGTTTGACGATGTTAAATCTTTGATTCCAATTAAGAGTGACCTCTGGATTGTTGTAGAGGAACTTATCAAGGCTGCCACTTGGCATAAAATCATAGACCAAAAGGAGCTCATCTTTACTCCGACGATAGCCAAGGAGTCGTACTAAATTGGGATGTCGCAGCCTTCCAATTGTGCCAATCTCTGCAATAAATTCTTTCATTCCTTGTTGAGATTTGTGGAAGATTCTCTTCACTGCAATTTGGACTTTTGATCCAGGTAATTCCCCTCTAAAAACCTGACCAAAACCGCCTTGTCCAAGAACCTCCTTTTCGTTGAAACCTCTAGTTGCTATGAATAAATCCTTGTAAGCAAACCTATGAGGTCCAAATTGAACCTCCCAATCTTCAAGTAATTCAGTAAATGTGGTTTTCTTTCTCGCCAAAATAAAAATGGCAGAGAATAAAACTGACACCAATAATATAACAGCTAATGACAATCCGACGGCAAGTGCTATTTCTTTTCTAGACTTCACGTTTGCGCTTGACATAGATGGAAGTCTGGCGAGATCAAGATCTTCCGCTTTCCCATCTATCTGGAAGCCCCAACCTAAAACATAATTAGATGCTACTTGTATACCATTGGCGGAAGAGAAACCTACATACAGTTGATCCAAAATGATTGGTGATAAATCAATATCCATCGACAACAGCGGTTTAGGCTTACTCGTTTAAACTGAGATATGATAACATTAAGTTGATGCTTTGTACCATCATATTCCACCCGAAGTTGTCTCTCTTTTCCGTTCGCCAGATCAACAGAAACCAATCCACCGCTTGCACTAACAAAATGTGCAGAAGCAGAATTTGCTGACGTTAAGCCATTGATATCAATCCCAACGTGGTTATCATTGGGATCATCAAAATCAAGGTTTTCAAACGTATCAAGCTCGATGGCAACAATATGGTTGGATGGATTTCCATTATTTGTAAGGTTGAATAGACCCAGATGCTGGGCAACTGAAACCCCTTGGCCCGATATGAACTCCTTGGAAGGAGCGAGCACAAAGGCCACACCATGGCCTCGAGAGTTCTCGGCGACCATAGCAAACACCAAAGTGGTAGAGAAACAGGAGGCGTTAGCATTTGATGAATTCTTGAACCTAAACTGGTCAGAATAGAAAGCATGGCCAAACTCAAAAGATGCTCTGTTTGTAAGTCTGCAAAGACCATCAGTATTCACTTCTGCTAAGCCAGCCAATTCTAAGCTCTTATTTGGGCCAGACACCAGTCCTAAATTGAATCCATCGACGATGAAACTTTCACTGCTTGAGGCTGCCACTTTGACTTAAAAAAAAACCAACACAAAAAATCCCTCAGGTACATGATTGGAACTGTCTGATTGCCTTCTTTGTTGAATTGATAAGTTTAACCTCTTCTCAGCATCAGGAACTAACACGTACTCCGGCATGACCAATGTATCTAGCAGGATAAACGAAGTTAGCAGGTACTGATTGGATTCTTCGCTGACTGGCTGATTTGATAAAATTCAACCGAACCTTTCCACCATGCCTGGTGTCTAGTATTAATTGGCACAGCAAGTCCAAACATACCATTCTCCCAGCAGAGGAGGAGTGACTCAAAAAAGTTACTGTTCATTGATGTTAAGTTTGGATAAATATTAGTAAAAAAATTAAAGTAAAGGGAAGAAAATAATATATATGCTATTTGTTTTTGAATAGTTAAAATAAATAAATGAAAAGAAAGTAATTTTAATAATTATTATTTGATTAAATAATATAAAAGAAAAGAAATGATTTATTATATTAATTTTTTAATTTTTGATAATTTTTGTTTTTATTATAATATTTATACGTTTATGTTAACATATTTTATGTTTTTATTTTATTTTTATTTTTATATAAAAATAATTATCAATAAAATTTATAGAATTTATAAAAAAAGAAAAAATTAAAGACAATAAATTTATTAATAAATGAAATTTTATATTATCAATCTAATTTTAAAATTTAAAATCACATACTTTTAATTTAGATAAATTAATAAAGATATAATAATCATTTTATATTTTAAAAATTTTATTCTTTTTCTTTTCTTACCATTTTCTTCATTTTGGGGTAATTAAAAAATAAAAAAAATTAAGAGAAATCAAGAGAAGCTAAGCATATATTTTCTTTTTTTTTTTTATGTCATATCTGAACAAGAAAAATGATTCTTCATTTCCTCTGGTTTCCTTTTCATTTTTTTTTTCTTTCCTCTTACTTCAATTTAAATATGGTGTTAAGCTATTTGTAAATAATTACATACTTGACTGATCTTTTTTCTTTATACTTTACAACCTTTTTTATTGAAAATTATATTTCTATTAAAATTTGAATTCTTTTATCTAATTTAATTTATATCAAATATATATAAAATAAAAAAATAATAATATTATAATTTATATTCACAGACTAAATATAAAACATATTTTTTAGTTTTTATACTTTTATATATAAATTTTTATTAAAATTTTAATTCACATAATTTTGTATTTTTTTAATTATTTTTTATTACATTATAGTATCAATTTTAAAATTATCGACGTTCATTCCTTTAAAATGGAAAGTTGAAGTTTTATTCAAAGCAAAATCTAAACTAGAACCAAAAAAAAAAAAAAAAAATCAAGTTTCAATAAAATTTATATTGTACGGGTCGGTTTTACTCGAATTATAAAACAAAACCCATTTTCTAGTCGGGTCATTGATAAGCTTGCAAAGTTTCAACTTTCAAGCTGACGATCAATATTTTTTCTGAATATTAAGAAAAAATGCCAGTGAGAGTCGCAGAGATCTCTGCACCTTCTCAGGTTTCAGGTTTTCCGCTTTCTCTTAAAATCCCGTCTTTTCTTTTCCCTCCTTTTCGCTTAATTGCATTAGGGTTTTGGTAAAGTCTGAAAATTTTTAAAATTTTTTCTTTTTATAATTTGATTCTGATTTGGGTCGGTAAAGTTTTTATTTTTTTGCTTTTATTTTTGATATATTTGTTTAACTATGAAGGTACAATTTCCAGACATACCTCACCCCCAGCATGTACGCTTTTGAGTGTTGGACAGGTCAATGAAAATTTCCTCCTTTCTTCGGATTTTGAAATTTTAATTGTATTCCTTAATGCCCTTACAAATTAATTTAAAATTCTTTGTTTTAGTGGTGTTTGATTTAGTTTCTTTACTTTTTTTGTTGGTTTGGGGTAGTTGGTTTTAGATTATAGACTATGTTTTAGTGCTCGAGTATATGACAGCATGGTTTGAGTTGCAGGCATTTTCTGGTACTCAAAACGTTTCTAGTATACAAAAGGAGGAAGCTTGGAGAGTTAATGTCCGAATACAAGGATGCGATCTCGAACATGGGTATCTATGCGGCACTATGGAAGCTCTAAATGTTCCTATGGCCGATACACCAGTAAGTTGAATGCTTTACCATCTGGATAAGTTTTGAAATGTTTGTCTGGGATTTGTCGTCTAATTGGCTGATGATACATTCTTTCATCCATATTCTTTTGTAATTCTTAATTGACGTTACCTGCCAAAACTTGCTTTTTCTTAAACTCATGTATCAGTAGACATTATGATGTAGACAAGGGACATTAGCGCATTTGGTTTTACTTTAAATAAAGCCTACAAGATATGACATGTGGTAATAAAGAGATATTATACATTTTTCTTTTCAGATTGTAAGCGGTTGTTATCACTTCTGCAATTTTTGACTCCAGACAAATATGGGAAATCCAGACGAAGTGCGTATATTTTAATCTTACTTCTCGTGTTTTACTTTTTGATGTTTCTCAGGTTGTAACCTTTTGGGAAGGGGAGATTGTTGATACAAAGAATTATACTTTCTTCACTGGCAAGTGGGATGCATCGTATGTTTCTTTCTTCCCACTTTTTTTATTTTATTTTTTGAACAATGGAGCCTCTTTGCATAAAATTGATGATAAGAATTTTTTTCCGTGGAAAGTTGGGAACAGTTATTCATTTCCCCTTTTAACGAGTTTTATAAATCTTTTAACAGGCCAGAGGATGATAAAAGGCATTGGACAAAGTTTCCATCTTTTTTACCACTCCTGGTAAAGAGTTAGAACTTGTGCCTCATATGCAGAACTGTGCTTACTTATCTGGCCCTTTTTCTTTTCAGAGCCAAGTCGAGATTGATGGTGGGAAATCTTTGGACCTGAGTAATTGTCCATACATATTTATGGTAATTTGATCTTATTTATTTTCATTAATTTCTAAGATTTCCGTGTATGTTAACTAATAATAAGTATTAACTTTCTGTTTCTTTTGTTTATCTGGTTCAGAGATGGAAAGAGCAATACTTTGTAAATGTTGGAACAGACTGTGGGCTAACCATAGCTGGGTTTTACTACGTTTGCTTCTCTTGTAGTGATGGTTCTATCAATGGCTTCTATTATGATCCTAATAGCAGGTATCTTTATTTCTTCATTGTGTTCCATGTTTTTGTTAATTATTTAATTACTCTTAACTCTCTTCCCATTCTCCAAATAACACTGCAACCTTCAACCATGACAAATGCTTCATCTCTTTTGGTTGAAGACTCAAATACTCAATGAACTAGATTTTACTATATGAATTAGCCTTGTGAGCATTAGGTTCAACTCTCTTTTGTTCTTCTCCTTCCTCTTTTTTGTTCAATTCATAGACAGAATTGTCCTCGATAAACTTGCAGTCCTTTTCAGAAGCTTGAGCTGAAATCCACCAATGAAGGAAGATCAGGATTCAGTTTTTCATCATATGAATTGCAGTAAATAAGAACATAGGCTGTTGATTTAATATATATCAGGGTAAACTGAATTTCTCAGATAGGTGTGTGATCTTTGTGATTGACTACATTTTTATTCACTAGTTTGCCATGTTGCAACAGGAATGCCTCTTTTTCTCTTGAAGTTATCCGAATTATTCATAATAAGATATTTGGCTATTTGGCTACTATTGAAAAGGTTTTATCAATAAAATTTTCATTTCTCTGCGATATAGGCATAGGTAGCAATCCATTCTATAATTCTTTTATTACCCATTCATGCGAAAAAAAAGATGATCTCACTAACAAAAGAAGTGTACGGTATGAAATAACGTATATAAAAGCTGACTCATTCCATAAAAAAAAAAAAAAAAAAAAGAACAGCCCTCTACTTCATTTTTTTTTTTTTTTGGCAGGAATCAAGAAAAAAGGTAACTTTAATGTAGTGATTGCTTGGAATGTGAAACAGAGACCTTTTAAAAAAAAAATTTTCTCTTGGGCTAAATTTAATTCAGCTAACATTATATATGAGATGTTCATTGACTTGTATAAAAGTGATGCTATATGAATATGTTCTTTTACTAGAATTAATGAAGTTCTATGAGTTGATGAATGCTTGCAAGTTGCAGGTGGTTATAGGGTGTATATAAAAACAAAGTTAATACCATCTGACTTTGTTATCAAAATCATAGATTTCTCTTAGGCATCCTGAAATGGTACGAGGCTTGGCCTTGATGGTTAATTGGTTTTGTACGTTCCCAATAACCCCCTTGAAAATTGCCTAGCCCAGGAAGAGAAAAAGAGTAAAGGAGTAAAGGGAAAAGGGAAAAGACAAGCCAGGTTGGATAAGAGAAGGGTGCGCTAATTTTCAGTTCGGCAGATGTTTTTGTTGATTTAAGGAAAAATCAGTCAGCTGCGTGCTCTGATTAGCTGGCTGTGCAGTTACCGCGAATTGAGTTGAATGCTGAAACGTGGCCCCACGACCAACTGGCAAACCAAACGTGAAGTGATTCCTGGAGCTCTCTCTAGCAGTTTCTCTCACTCAGTGCCAAAACTAAACTACTTGATTAAAAAGAACTAGTGTTTCTTTCCCAATGTCTAAGTTGCACGATTATGAAACGAGCTCAACCATCCTCGTGCGCTCACGCAATTGGTTACTGCAGAGTCAAAAAAAATATCCCACAAGCATGTACCCCTCTTCATGAGGGACGTCTCCCTTTTATGTCTTCCCCTCTCTCCCCATTTCTCTATCCAACCATCTCCCTGGCGGCCTTATCATTGAAGAATCATAAACTTACGTACCAAAATGGAGAATTTGCTTTGTGATGAGGTATGGCTATCGAGTCCTAGAACTCCTGACCTTAGCCATGAACGTGAACATTGCATTTTGAAGGGCTGTGATGATTCATTTTACACGACAAGGAAAGACTCTGAGCGGGCTCTTGTAATATGCCTGGAGAAAGAGTTCAGTTACATGCCAGAACCTGGATATCTAGATTATCTCCAATCTAATAATTTGGTGTTTGCTAGGTGTAGAGCGGCTCAGTGGCTTATCAAGGTTATTTTTCTTAATTTCCCTAAGAAAATTCTCACGTTTTCTTCAAGCTGGCTAGCTGTTGATTTGAAATGGTTTTATGATAATCCCTATCTGTTTTCTCTCATTTTCTGTTTTTTCAGACTTGTACTTGGTTAAATCTATCTACTGGAACCGTTTTCAATGCTGCAAATTACCTAGATCGTTTCCTATCCATGAGTCAGTGCCATGTAAGGAACATATAAATTATTGGTTTTTTTTTTTTTTGTGGCCTTCTGTTAACTCGTCTTTTTATCTCCCAACTTTGCAGCAACATTTTGTAGTTTAAACATTAAATTATCTACTTTTTACATGTAACGTTCTAGGGATGGAAACATTGGATGGTTGAGTTACTATCCATAGCATGTCTATCCATTGCTACCAAATTCAATGAGACCTCCCTTCTTTCCTTGGATGAACTACAGGTGAACAGTTAATATTATTTGACAACGATTCAGCCATTCAGGATAAGGATGATGGTAATTATTGTGTATCAGTGTGTTTATATATGAAAATTGTTGATATTAACAAGTTGACAGCGTTATTGTTTTGGTCAAATATGGACGACTTGGAGCACTGTTTTCAATCAAGCACAATCCAGCAGATGGAACTAATGCTGTTACAAGCTTTAAAATGGCGCCTCGGTTCTACAACAACCTATTCCTATATAGAGCTGATTACATCAAATATTGTCTTTCTCAAATGTAACCTTCAGGAGTTAATCAACCAAGTTAATAGACCCTTCTCAGAGTTATATTGGGTAAAGGCATTCCTTCTTTTCTTTGTTTTTTACAACAGTAGATTGAAGTATTGAAAATTAAAGTAAACATGGTGCAGATTTGAAGTTGCTGCATTATCCACCCAGCGTTGTTGCAATATCTGCTCTTTGGTGTAGTCTAGAAGACTTAATTCCGTCATCATATGATGTCTATCTCACCAATATTATGAAGCACATCAACCAAGATCAGCAGGCATAAAAACATTAAAATACCAGTTTTTATTAATATATATATATATATATATTCTAGTTTACTGTTCCATTGATATAACAAAAATATTCCAAGTCAGCAGGAGGAAATTATGGAGTGTCGTAGGATAATGAAAGCATGGTTGGTTGATCCATTCTACTGCTTCAAAGTTTCTGAGCAGTCCCACTACTACCCTTTAAGTCCTTTGACGGTCTTATTGATGGAGCGGATAGAAATCAATGATTGCCAAGTCGATCTCTCACTCTTCAGGAAGCCAGTTTCAAATGTCAATATTCCTGAATCAAGTGGACTAAATGAAAGAGAGAACAAGAGTAGATCCTAAACATGGTTTTTACCGTAGAGGAGCCATGATTTGGTCATAGAATAATGTTATACTTAGTTCATCTATTAAATCGCGTTACAACTCTCAATATCACGTAAATTTTATGTGATGGCTAATTATATATGATTGAATAAATGAAAATAATAAGTTTATTTATATTTATTGATATCATTAATTTATAATTAATATAGCTATTAAATCATGCAAAAGCAACATGATGTTGAAAATTTCTCTCAACATTAAAGTGGTGATATCACATATAAAGTATTATGTTTCTAGTTATTTTATATTCAAGGTGAATTTTTTCACATATCATCAATTACTTTTAAGTTGAATGTTTAATATAATATTAAAATTTAGGTTTTGCTTCATTGTTTTTATCTCCCTTTTATGTTTGTCATGTCATGTGATAGGCTTCTTTTTATTTCTATCTACATGTAATGAGACTTATTAAAGTGATTGTTGAGGATATTTAATGGTCAAAAAGGTATACTGATCTTTTTTTATTAAGGGTTTTAACAAATAGTTAAGGGTAATTTAAACATTTGTGTCGACTTAATATATCAGGTCGACTTGACACATAATGCCACATCAACTCGATCATATCATTATCATTTCTCATTGGTCCCTTATCTTTCATCTATAAATATAGATATCTAGGCATTATCAAAACAAGTTCCATTTAGTTTTAAACTCTTTACTTTTTTCTTCTTTCGACCTTTCCTATCATGATTTTTTGTATTAAAGTGCAAACATAAGGAACAATCTCTACCGTTGCATCTAACCATTCTCTTCCAGTTTTCTATTCGTTCAAGAACACCTTTACGTCAAAGCTTGGCACAAACATTTGGCGTGCCAAGTAAGGGCTCTTTTTTATTTATTAGCCGAACGCAACACAATGCTGCCTAGAAAGATAACTTTGAAGGAAGAAAAGACAACCATCCCAACTAGAACAAAAATACACAACAGCCAACAATCAAACCAACCTATCCCATAACAAGTTGGTTCGGCCATTGAATAATATCAGGCTTTAACCGAGCAAATACAAGCTTTTAAATATATGTTACAGACTATAACACCACTATAGACTTTGAAAGAATCCAACCTAGTCACCATTGGCTGACAAGCTATGGAAATACAGTCAACTTAAGAAGAAATGGAAGCCTTTTCGGCTTCTAGAGAAGAAGACTTTAACACCTTCAGTTTACCATTATCCTAGTTATAACTCAACATACACCATAACCTAAAAATCTAAACAAACAAATCTTGAGCCCTAACCGATCAAGGACCTAGAAGCTCGGATACATGCCATGGAAAAAGAGCTAAAGGCAAAGGCAGTAGCCTTCGAAGACGAGCTTAAATTTTTGGAGCCATCACCATTTACCAATGTGATTGATAAAACTATGCCCTTAAAAAGGTTCAAAATACTAATTTTACAAACTTACGATAGTACTTCTAATCCTTTCGATTATCTAAAACTTTATAAAACTAACATGATGTTGTAAGGAACGGATGAATTTTTTATGTGTAAGGGTCTTACTACTACTCTTAAGGCTGTAACTTGGTCTCATTACAACAGTTTAGAACTGAGGTCAATTACATCATTTAAAGAACTTAGTCACTCTTTTCGATTTCAATTTGTAAGTAGTCGAAGAATGAAAAAGACAACCTTGAGCTTAATGTCAATCCACCAAGGTCATAACAAATTCCTAAAAAGTTATGTCATGCTTTTTAACATGGAAACCCTTTAGGTGAAAAACTTGGAACAAACAACCGCTGTACACGCCTTGAAAAGTGGACTCAATGATAGAGAATACCACCGAAGTTGACCTTGTCATTAGATTCACTTACAATTTTGGTTGATGTCCTACTTGTAACTGAAAAATATATAAATGTTGAAACTACTATGAAAAACAGCTGAGGTGAGAGAGGTTCATCTCCCTCCTCAATGATCGAGGTAATCATCCTCCTTCATTGGTTGTAAAAAAGGTAAGGATTTCTACGATCCTTCTCCAAGAGAGAGATGACATAAGGCTAGAAGCTCTAGTAGAAAAAAAAATTATACGGCACTAAATACCTCTCAAGAGAGGATCCTAATGCGAATTGAGAGGAATCCAAAGCTCAAGTGGCAGAAGCCATTAAGATAGAATACAAGAAGGGATCTACCTAAAATATGTGCCTTCCATAGAGACATGGCTATAACATAGAAGACTATGTTGACCTAAAAAATGAGATTAAAACTCTGATTAAAAAAAGTCAGTTAAGGAAATTTATGGAGTAACAAGATAAAGACAAACCAGATCGGATTATAAGTGGGACTGAAGAAAACCCACCAGGGATAAGAAAGGTAGGCCAGAAGAAAATAAAAGGGAAAAAATCCAAAAAGATGAGCCAAGACGGGAAAAAGGTCAAGCTGATAATAACAAGCCAATCGCTGAATTGATTAATGTGATTACTGGTAGGAGTTCAATCTCGACCAAAAGAAAATTCAACCCAAGGATGATCATGACCTTGAAAAGCTAGGCAAAGAAAAATAAAAGACTGAAAAGATGAACCGACCTCGTTTAGCTCGAAAGATTTAAAAGAAATCTACCACCCGCATGATGATGCTATAGTAATTACAACTATAGTGCATAATTATGTAGTCAAGTGAATCATATTCGATAATGTGAACTTGATCGATATCATGTACTACAACACCATGAAGAAGATGGGAATCAGTGAAGATCGATTGCAAAAAATCACTAAAACCTTAATGGGATTTGGGAACGAGCACGTATTAATAAAAAAGATTATTAAATTATTGATCTCTTTGAAAACGAAACCGATGACAGTCACCTCGGTAATAAAGTTCATGGTTATGAACATTTCATCTGCTTACAATATGATATTAGGTTGACTTAACTAATCTGTTATATAACTCATAAGCTTAACTTTCCCTCTAAAAGTATTATATATTGCATCTAATTTTTTTTTATTATTAATAGATATGATATTTTTTGAGAAAAATAAATATAATTATTATTATTATAAAATATTATTTCATGTGTTTGAAATATTATTCGAAGATATTAATTTTTTAAAAATAAAATAATATTTACAAGAGATTTTTAATGGAATAACTATAAAAATGATCAGAAGGACTTACCTGTCTTGTAAAATTAAAAGGATTGTGACGCAAGAGTTGTTCATTTTTTAAATTAATGAATTTATTTTAAATTATACTCAAAATTAAAAGAATTAAGGCGAATTTACCCCAAAAAAAAGTCGGAAATTATATTTTTGGGGTAGCATTTGATGTAGTACAGCATCGACGAATAAGTTATCTGAACCGCAATGAACTGTCTGCTTGGAAACCGTATGTAAACGAGGCCCGAGCCCGACAACCACGACCACAAGCTCTTCTTTGTGGGGGACCCACCTGCTTTTTAGGTTGAGGTAGATAAAGTACAGCAACCACGCGAAAACTTTGGCTTTGGTTGCAGACTCAAAACAATGGCTGCTTCTTCACTCATTTCCTCATCATTTCTTCCTCCCACCAAGCCTTTAACAATTCAACGCCAAAACGATCATCATAACTCGACAAGCTTCAGGAACCGAGCTTCCTTGAAGGTCGTAGCAGCCAAGCTTCCTGCTGGTGTACGTTTTTTCTTTTCCTTTCACGGCTATTTCATCTTTATCTTTTATCGCCAAATAATGCTGGGTTTTTGTTCATAAGAAAATTTGTTTCTGGGAAAAATCAATGTTTCAGGTTGAAGTGCCAAAAGTAGAGCCGAAATTCAATGCACCTTTTCTTGGATTTACGAGGACAGCTGAGATATGGAATTCCAGGGCCTGCATGATTGGCATAATTGGGGTTTTCATTGTAGAACTGGTAAGGTTTCTACAATTTTCAGATACTTATTGGCAATAGAGTAGAGGGCTACACGTATAAGTTATAACTCTTCTCTTCCTTTGACCAACTTCCCATGGTACAATTTTACAGTCACTGACGATTTTACGGCTAAGTTAAGGGTAGTTTGAGGTTTTTGAATTACGGTGTTGTTGCTTAATTCTGTGGGCTTTTGGGTTTTGCAGATACTAAACAAGGGAATACTTCAGACTATTGGGGTAGATGTTGGGAAAGGTCTTGATATTCCTCTGTAAAGATTCAGTCCAGGAAGACAAGAACGTTAGATCAATCTAAAATGGCGCTTTGTTTTGGAACAAGAAAAGCGCCCTTCTCTTTGTTTTAAAACATGAAACTAGACTTCTTTATACTCTATATAACAACATTGCAACACTTTGACCATCATATGTAGGGTATGTCATTTTTCTCCTGTTCAAGCTTCAAAATGTTCTCAGTTATGGATTGGCTTGCAATATGAATTACTCTGCCAATCTCAAACAACATGGAATTTGCAGAATGACCCCAAATAACATTAAACTATAAACTGATTTCATTTCAGTTCAGGCATGATCAATGAGGCTAAACTGCTCGGTGAGACGAACGAAGATCATTTTTTACTGCAATTTATTTTTTAAAATTATAAAACTATCAACGAGGTTTAATATCCTACAACACATGGTCTGTCTCGCATTAGGTACGGCCGTTTATATCTTGCATACTGCATCATCTACGATCTGCTGAATGGTACTTATTGCCAAGGAAAGATTTCCTGACAAACCCAACCAGACGAAGAAACTACAGAATAATCCAACTTTCCTCTCACAGCATGTAAAGGAGGTGAATTGTTGTTTCGAGGCTCAGATAAAATCCTCATATTTCATTTTGGATCCATAAACAAAGCATATTCAACTGCCATATTAGAACAAGCAAAGGATGGTTTACAGCACTTGGCTAATTCTAGCATCTATAACCGGCACTTTACTAGAACGCTCTGAGATGTCCAACACATCAGCTAGTACTATACGACGGTTACTACATGCAGCTTCTGCCCATGTTTTCTTTTTCTCTCCTTCAGTCTTCCTGTTCTGCTGAACACAAAGTACATCTGCATACCCACCTGCATAAACAACCAATCAGATTACTGCAGTGCACTATGGAAAGATACATGCTCAAACCCCCTTGAAATCGAATACACACGTCTTGTTGCCATCGCAGAATGCCCAACTTATATCATATGCTGCTGCTGTATTTGTGTTGGATGCTGGCCACATCATGCCAAAGTTAAGCAGGGCATATCATGCTCATATTATTGGGTGAAATACAAAACCCCCCTATGATTATCTGAAAAAGATACTAAACCCCTTGTAGTTTCAAAATACCAACTTTCCACATTTGGCTATCCACCCTGTTAGTCATACTGTTACCTACTTAAACCCCACTTTCATAGTCAAACCGTTAGCCATTATGTTTTTTTCTTTCATTTCTTTTTCCCCTTTCTTTGTCATTTTCATCCGTGTATGCTCAAAACCAACGTCAATTATCAATATAACAGTGTATACAAATCCAGAAAAAATAATTATAACCCATAAATTATTAGAAAGAAAAGAACTATTAATTTGTTTTAGAACTAACGAAGAAAAAATATATTTATTTGCAAAATCTGCAATCACATGATCCAAATTATCAAAACGAATATAAAAAGCCAAAAAATCCCAATCACCAACTCCATTCTCAAGCATTTTCAAGCAACAAAACAAGAATTCCCATCCCCAGCACCATAGGGCAACCTGTCCAGTTTCTAAATGGCATTAATTTAAAGAAAAAAAAACTTAAATCAATTTAATAATGAAATGATCGCAAGATCTAATTAAAAAACAAGAGTTCCTTGAACTATTTTCTTCAAATTTGGAAGAACTTGGCATCAATTGAAGTTTATATGAAAAAAGAAAGGCATCTAGTTTACTAGCCTTAAAATTTTCCATTAAAAGAACTAGGAAGAAAAAGCTTAGAGTGAGAGTGTGGACAGAAGAGAGAGAAACATGAGGGTGGAGAAGAAAGCCATAGATTAAAAAGAGAAGAGGAAAGAAAAATGAAGGGAAAAGAAGCAAGAGACTCCAAAGATTTGAAGAAACAAAAATGAAATACAGAGAATGAAGAAAATGGGAAAAAGAAGAGCATGGCAATTTTATCTGAAAAAAAATCAACTGATGTGGTGGGTTCAAATTGGGTAACGGTTTGACTAACAAGGTGAATGGTCCAAGGGGGAATGTTGGTATTTTAAAACTACAAGGCGGTTAGTGTCCTTCTAAGATAACGATAGGGGGTTTTTTGTAATTTCACCCTCATATTATTTTCTCCACATGGAATACGAGGCTAAATATTAAGAATGCACGAAAAGATGTGAACCAGTTGACCATACCTCTTGCAAGGGCTGAAATATCCCTTATATCAAGTTTTTGTCTCTGCACCTAAGCAATTAAAAGGTTAAATAGTTATTCAATTGCTTAAACATCTGGCAAGAAAAATGTTTTAATATTCCAAACCTTTAGAGTCCAATGGTGGAGCTTTCAGAAACTCTATTACCCTTCTATAAAACCCCTGCTAGTCATAAATTATTAAAAACATAACACCACTTAAGCCCTTAAATAGATTAAAAGAATGGGCTACTATAACTCCTGCAAAAGTGCATCACTATCTCATTTCAACCCAAATTTTAATCCTAAACAACCTAGGATTAGCTATGTGACCTTCTTCTATGTCACTTGGTCTATGGCCACCTTCTAGCTAAGATGCAAACATAATATACATGCAAACTCACAACATGCTTACATCAGAGGGCAGGTGACAAAAAAGAGATAATCTTTCAGTAAATAGGGTGCATTAGATTTACATATTATCCTCTTTTACCATTCAGACCTATCTAATCAGAATCCATTTAAAATTTTTCTTCTTTTCTCACTGGATTACGCAGAATCCACAGATTCAGTCCCTCATGCTACCTCTTTCCTAAAAGTTAAAATAAAAAGGAAGGTAAGGAGATGTGTGTCTTACAATTGACCAAATCATGCAAGACTTCAAAAACCAGATAAATAAATGCTGATGCAGCAGATCCAGAATTAAATATACAAGGTGGAAGTTCTGACCCCTTGAATTAGAAGATAACTTGAGCGCTATGCAGGTTAAGACAAACACCAACCTTGTGATGATTAGAGCCTGCATGACGTCAATAAATCACAGGGTAAATAATAAAGTCGTTAGCAAGTGGAACCAGAAGAACACTAGATTTGTGTACATTAACATAAATAAAAAGTTACGCACCAACAAAAACTTCCTCTAAAATCAGAATCATTATCAGTTCACAATCAAAACAAAATTGAAAAAAAAAAAAAAAGAAAAGGAAAGAAAATTAAAGAAATAAAAAAAGAAAGAAAGAAATACCTTTCATATAATAAAGTAGACATTGAAAGAGGCATTTTAAGCAAATTGATCATCACTTTCAGTTGACTGAGTAGAAAGACACTTCTCCAATATCTGCATGCCTTGAGCATATGATTCATCTACAAAAACCCAATCACTCAAATTTAAAAATAAAGTTCAAAATTTGACCAAAGAACAATTAAAAAAGTAGAAGGTTTAGTTCATTCAAAAAAAAATGGCACTTTAGCTTAATGGGGTGATTGTAAAACCTGATTTCTAGGACCTGGCATGTGAAAGAGCGTAATTGATCATCTGAACAGAAACTGGGTTGGCGCTGGGACCGTTGATTCCATCGTGGACGAATCTCAACGGCTGTGATGAAGTACTGGGGATGGGTACCACTCGCGAGGTTCGATAGAAGACAATGTCCGATCTTGATAGCTTAAATGCGGCTTGAATCATCGCTGCTGATTATTATTCTTTGTTGCTAAAACCCAAATTAAGAGAAAAAATCCGCAGGGTTTTAAGAGTTGCTTGAAATCTAACGAACTGGAAATGCCAGCAAAATTATAAATATTATTTTTTTAAGTATCAAATTGAGAGAAAGTGTATACTATATAGGTCATTTTTTGTAGTTATCCCTTTTTATGATATGTTTTTTCATGTTATTGGAAATGAAAAAAAAAAATTTGTGGGTTAGAGGCTTAGAACTGAAGCTTAGCAGATACGAAAATTCATATTGGTCCTATGTTTAAAATCCCTTCTTAGTTGTTGCCTTAATATCCTTGTAAAATCTTAATGGTGTTTGTCAGATAAGATACCTTGGCTTAATTCAAAGGAAAACCTTCACTCTCAAGCTACAACTGAGATTCAGTCATTCACAAAGATCAGCAATAATTAATCTTTCATCAGCTGATTAATCATTATTAATGAGCAAAAGGATAATGGGTTTAGACTTTAGCATTGATTGTGCATCCCAGCATATCTGATTCTTCCCAATTTCCATCAAGGAGAATCAAAATCCCAAGAATGGCTGCTCTAGCTATGGAAACTATTCCTATAGAAAGTAATAAAAGTTCCTCTCTCTGTCCATACAACACAACCTGTTATCTTTTCTGTTTATCTGAAACAGAAACACTGAAACAAGCTTTATCAATCACAAACACTGAAGCAAGCTTGTCTATTTTGGTTTAATATGCCATCTTTTGACACAAAAGTGAAAAAAAAGATCTTATAATACACGATTAAGAAAGTACCAGGCATAATCATATCTCCTGAATAATTCCCTTGCACGTTTCTCTTTTATTTTAGCTATCATATTGTTTTTTCTGGGTATATTATTGCAATTTGCAAGTATTTTTTTATCAATATTTGGATATTGGAATAGTCTCAAGTCTCAAACTTAGTTGTTTTAGTTTCAAATCACATGGCATTAGATTCTTAACAGACAACTTTATGAATGTTAAGTGTTCAGTCTACCGGTGGTCTAATCTTGAAGTAATATATGTTTTAGGAAGAGAAAAAGAAAACCCTAATTTGAAGCAACGGATATATGCCATGTATCATCAAAGTAAAAAGTGAAAAGAGAGTTGAAAAAGAAAGCAAAAGAGGCCTAGTGATGCAACTGTTGAGATTTTCTTTTCTTGCTAATCGTTCAAGTTAAAAGCTGGTGGTTGTCCAATTCGATCCTTGTGGCACAAAGCTCACTCTCTGGCAGCTCATTACAAAGAGCAAATTCTCCTTAATCCAATTCAAAAACTTGTGACAATGCTAACTTCTTCGGCCTTCTTTTCTCTCTTCCTTTATCTGTTAGCATTTTCCTCCATTGCAGGTACATGGTACAATATTATTTACTTGCTCTTGTACGTAAATTTAATTCTTTATGTTAAGGATTTGTTTTTTTTCTTTCCCTCTTGCAGATGGGGAACAAGTCATACTTGTGAACAACTGCAAGGAAAGCATTTGGCCTGGGATACTTGGCAGTGCAGGTCAGTCCACTCCTAAAAATGGTGGCTTCTATCTTGGTAGTGGCGAAGAAGTAGTTCTTGACGTGCCACAGAAGTGGTCAGGGAGGATATGGGGCAGGCAAGGTTGTAATTTTGACAGTGATGGGAATGGTTCTTGTGATACTGGTGACTGCTCTGGAAAGCTTCAGTGCGAAGGAACAGGAGGTGCACCCCCTGCAACCGTGATAGAAATGACTCTTGGCACATCTTCTTCACCATTGCATTTCTATGATGTTAGTTTGGTTGATGGCTTTAATTTGCCAGTTTCAATGAAACCCGTTGGGGGTGGAATTGGCTGTGGAGTTGCATCATGTGAAGTTGATTTGAATGTTTGCTGTCCATCAGCATTGGAAGTGAAGAAAGGAGCCAAGGTAGTGGGATGTAAGAGTGCCTGCTTGGCCATGCAATCAGCTAAATATTGTTGCACAGGGGAGTATTCAAATCCAACGACTTGCAAGCCAACGCTTTTTGCACATCTCTTCAAGGCTATCTGCCCAAAGGCCTACAGCTATGCTTTTGATGACTCTAGCAGCCTTAACAAATGCAGGGCTTCACGTTATGTTATCACTTTCTGCCCTCCTAAATGAGCAATGGCAAAAAATGAAACAACCAAGGTTGGTGCCATGACAGTGTTAGAAAGCAATGCCACCACAATAGGTTGCTTTTATGATTTTTACCGGTACTTAATAGTTGAAAAACATGTGTATCAGCTAATTTCTCGCTTTCCTCTTTACAAATTATCTGCTAGGTTTACATATGAAGATCTGTCAGTAAAGAAATGGATGGAAAGTTAAGCATGGTGTATTATATTTTTTGCTTTAGAATATCTCATTTGTCAAGTGATGATTCAGTTATTGTCACAACTACAATGACTGACAAAGGGAAAAATCTGTTCCACAACTTCCAATAACCAAGTAACTAGCATGAAAATGATAAGATATATATATCATATTCTAGGAAAAGAATTCTATATCATATTGTAACCATGCATTAAGCACACAGAAAGGACAATAAGTAAAAACAAATTTTGGCACAATGCTTTTCTGCTGATCAACTAGTCGCAATGAATGTTTTCCACTGCCGTCCCAAAAAGAGTTGTTGCAGAGAATTCAAATTCCATATGATAACTGAAATAAACTGCTAAAATAGTAGTAAAATTTTATCAAATGTCCAGATATAACAAGGTGAAAGCTTTCATTTTATCAAAGGATCCAAATGTATAGAACAGACAACCCTACAAAACCAATATCCCATCTAAGAACCATTATAATGAGACGAAATTTTCAGTTATCCTCTGCCTGATTAGGAATCTTTCTTTCAGGGAGGAGCAATGTCCGCTGCAACAAACTGTTAAAAATTTTGCAAGGGATAACTTAAGCACTGGGCTATATATAGGAAGAAAATGTGACATGGTTTTTTAAGACAGTTTAAACACAGGAAACATGGATTCAAATGAAACATTTACCGAGAATGAAGAGGCACCGATTTTTGCGCCATCTATTCCAGTGCCTAATGTTCAAGAGTTGGTGAGGAAGGATCCTTTGCAGGCTCCACAAAGATATGTTAGGGACCTACAAGACAGACCAAAAGATACTGATACGCCACATCTTTCTTCCCTTATTCCTGTCATTGATTTGTCATTATTATTAATAGGGAATGAGGAGGAACTAAACAAACTGGATCTGGCTTGCCAACAATGGGTTTT